ATATACGTACAGCAGGTCATGGTCTTTGGTATCATTTTCAGACCCCCCTTTTTCAGCTAATAACATATCGAGTGTCATACGATTTTGAAAGACCATGTTAGAAGTAGCCTCCAACTGCTCTGCTATCACCACTTGAGGGCATCTCGTGTGTAGTTTACAAACCGTTGTTGATTATAGTAGATGTAGTTTATCCAATCTACATTCTTTGTTCTCAGTGATGAAAGGAATAGGGATTCAAATCCCGCGGCCACCTAAACCACCTGTCTCTGGCCTTGAATTCATCGGGTACCCCCCTTGGGACTCCTATCGCATCTATATAGACAACGGGGGGGTCAAAACTCTCCTTGTGGAGGCAACTTCGTTTGTGCTTGGTTGCATGGAGGGGGTTAGGCGGCCCCTTAAGTAATGGATCTGAGAGGATGTGCAATGGCATTATGGCATTGGCAAGGGTACAATTCCCCTCTCCATTCCCCATCAGTCGGGTCCTAAATCTTTGATCAACCACAGATCAGAATTATATCCCCCAATGACATGACCTGGTTCTAGGGGTGAGATCTGACCGGGCTGATACTATAAGCAGCACAGAATCCTTTGTGAAGTTCCCCAGAAACCTTCCTCCTACCCTCAATAGTTGGCATAGCAGGTATAATTACCAAGGGATATTTTGGCTTAAACATACTTTTGGGGCCTTTTTCGTCTCCTTGGATTAAGGCTGGGTAACGCTTCTTCCAGTCCTCACATAAAGACTGGTTCGTAGAGATGTTAGTATACAGGATTAAGACACACTCCTCTATGAAATCTCTGGTAGGGGTTAGTGGCACCGTCCCCAGATGTGGTCTGGCATGCCCACACACATAGCAGATTGGACTTATTATGCGAGTTCTGCATGTATCTCATCCATTCTAAACCTACAGATTAGTGTCTGAGAGGCCCGGTTTCTACTGCTATAGTATCTTCCGTATGTAGGGTTTGCCTATGGCCACCATCTCTGCCAATCGTTTTGATCTTTGGCATAAGTGGGTTAAGGTCAGGGAGCAGTATCTCTAGGAAGATTTCCCATCGGTTTGATCTATACATATCCCCTTATCCAGAATTGTCCCATCCACTCCCCCATGTCCCCAGTATAACCTCCCAACCAGTAAAGCCCCTTCATCTCGCTGGGCTCGGGGTTCTCTATGTGTAGGCGTGAGTGGCATAGTTCTCTCCAGTGTTGGGTTTTCATATGAACATGTGCCTTTTTTAAATATTGGTCAATACTATCAATTAGGGCTCCTTCGCCCATTTTTATCTTTGCGGTTTCAAGGCACACTTAGCGTTTTAATACCCCCCAGTCAGGCCCCGTATTCCATCCTACTGAGCCCCCAGTCTATCTGCATTTGTCTCCCCAATAGTCATCCGTCAACACATATATATACTACTGGAGTGATCCTGATTACGTAGGTAGTACACTGCCAAGGTTGATTCGCGGACAAGGCGCTATGAAGCAGAAGTCTAAAGGCAAAAGTGGCCCCACAACGGGGTGTTGGAAGAATTTGTTCCACAAAATGTTATCAGGCCACTCTGTTCGGGTGTCCCCACCTTCCCTTGTGATTGCCACATTCTTTGTCCCCTACCCATTCCCGAAAGCACATACAAAAGGATATATGTGTATAGTCTCATGTTCTAGTTGTCTTCTGGGGGTGCAACTATTCTTTGCAGTGAGAGTCGTGGATCCATGGTACTCTTTCCTTCTAGCTTACATGAGAAGAGAGAGCCGTCACCAGAAGCAACTGGAAACGGGTGACCGTCATATCTGGGTTCCAATGTATGTCTTCCGCTAGAAAACTTCTTGACCAAGACCCAGTCTCCCAGTGTTGCAAAGTCGTGCGTTCACAGTGTCCGCCTCAGGATCTGGTTAATGGAGGAGAAGAAAACTTGCGCATGGATATTAGTCAACACACTACGTGCCAAAGATAATCACATACTGTAAAATGGTTTTGTTTTTCACCATCGTGGACAGTACTTAAAATTCAGCAACCTTTTGAATAAAAAAATATATAACACTATCATAGATTTCTCTCTTTTGGGTCTTATTGTGTATGAGTCCCCTTAAGGTAGTGTAACAAAAGTGATCTCCTGATACGGAACAAAGCACACCCACCCTGGCGAAAGATGATCTTAAGGCAAATTCGTGATATCTGTAAGGAGGCGTACACCCCCCCTGGAGGTAGGAGACGCGCATGATTGATGCAAAGTTGTTCCTGAGGTCCCATTCTGCTGTATGATTCTTTGGGGCTGTGACAGGGAGTAAGGTCATTATACTCCAACTGCGCTTTTTCCTGCTCGGCTATCTGGTTAGTGCGTTTTGCAGCTATTCTCTCCTATCACAGGAAAGTCACGAATTTGATTGGATTACACGGATCTGCACTTCTAATGACTCTAACATCCAATTACCCTTATATTCACTATATGCACTTTGTTTTGGTCAGGATGATAATCACTAATAACTTACGTCTGTCCATTGTATGCAATAATTTGTGCGTCTTAAGTTGGCTGCATGTATAGTCCTACTATAATGTATTTCTTTTAATCCGGATGGTGCATACGCTATTTTCTCTATCACTACTTGGCTTCAATAGGCGCTGCCATTTTTGGTTTGTTTTTACTATTCATCACTCATACTTTCTGTCAATGAGTTCAGACCCTGCTACTAATGTTAATTGTTGAGGATAGGTAAGGGTAACCCATGTCTAGGGCAGGACCCAAACAAAATCTCATAGGGAGATACAACCCATTGGACTTTCCCCTTGGTGTGTATTCTAACGCTGAATGATCAAGAGCAATTAGGCAAGCTGTCCCGGCCTATCCCCATGCCTACATCTTGGGCCATTTTTAACATTCTTCGACTTCAGGTCCCCCATTTAGGCGCTCTACACCTTTCCACATACTCTGGGGGATGATAGGGTGTGTTGAAACGCTAAGTGTGTCACCACAGAAGACCACCAGATTCATCTATTCGTGACATTGGCAGTCAAACAGCTGGGTACCATGATCGCTTTTCATACCACCTCAGGGCACTCGTATCTGCTGACGATTCTCTCAGAGTGAAGCAGCTTCTTGGCAGTGGTTCTTGCCGTCTGGTTGGTTACTGCGAATGCCTCTGGCCATCTCTGAGAACATAATCCACTCCACCACTAGGGCATATTCTCAAATCGTCCTTTCCACTTTTTTTGGCATCTGGGATTATGATCTATCTGGATCCTCTGATATGGATAGTAGTGCCCTGGACCAGATGCTTGCATTGCTTGGAGGGTTTCTCAGGTCTTCCAGGATTGCACTTGAGCTCCATACACACACAAGACGTACAGAATCTGTCTGTGTAAGCCGGTTAATTCCGGGCTGCCTACACTGAGTATTTTACTGATACAAAGAGTTTCATTAGCATTTATTGGATCAAGGTGGTGGACGCTTCCATTGTGCCCACTTGCTACTTCGTTGCCGGATTATAAGGATCTGGGAAGCAAAACCTCGTCTCTACCCCACCTCCCACAATCCTTTCGGTCCTCAATCTAGCTTTTTTCCCTTTTTTCCTGCACTACCATTCCTTCCTTTATTTCTTCTGAAGCATTATCCTGGGCACGCTTCTTCCTGGAGAGTATGGTTGTCCTATGGGCATGATTTGATACACACACCCCCCACCCCCCAATTTTTCAGATTAGCACAGGCATCACATCAACTGCACATTCCTCTTCATCCTCTTACCTGATCCCTGTGACCGCAGCTTGCTTAGCAGCCATGTCTGCCAGGATGATTTCTCTTTTGCTTCCCATACGTGGTCAATCTTACCGTGGGCCTTTCACCTTCAGTATGGCCACTTGGGCTCGTAGTAAAAGTGCTTCCATAAGGTGGTTGATCGCCTTTCCATGCTTTCTACAGGAGTCCCAGATGCCGTGAGATAGCCCACTCATTTTCACCCAGCATTAGGCCAAAATCTCAAGTCGCAACCCCCAAATGTGCACATATATGGAGGTCCGTGTAATATGTTAAGCTTTAGTCTTTCCTTTTGTTAATTTGACAGGGCCTTTGGTGAGGCGCACTTAGTTCATGCCTCTTGTGCATGACATCTAAAGGTTGGTAAGAGGCTCTAGCTATTGCATTAGTACCATTGTGTCGGTCAGTCACTAGACATATCCAGTTGTCCGGCGAGGTGCCAGCCATTATCTGCAAAAGCGGGTGATCCATCACACAAAAAAGTATTAAGTCAGGATTTGATAGGGGCGTATCATGGACTCGTTGGTAGAGTCGCGGTAGTTTCTGCCCTGCATAAGTCCACAAACAGTCACTGTACCACATCCTCTTGGTGCCATTGTCTTCGGCTGTCTTCTTCTGCTTCGTCTACCCCCCCCCCTCGGAAGAGGGAGAAGAGTAGCAGGGTTTATCTGGGTGCCATCTGAACAGGAGTGACAATGATCAGGTAAAAGAGGAAGGGAGCCTTGCTGGTCGCAGAATGCCTGGCGACAGATAGATGTTTAGTGTTGGGTTTGGTTCAGTATTGCTAGGTAATGCCATGGGGGGGCCAGAAGTGTGATGTGGATGTCCTAAGACCAAATCTGCGTTTTTTATCCAGAAGTAGATGAGCAGCAAAAACAGCCCTCAGACAGGAGGGGACCACCTCGTGCAACCGGGTCTAGCCTGCTAGGAGTAATAACCCAGAGGGCCGGAGGCGTACCCCCATGGCGTTGTGCCAGAACTACTCCTGTTGCAATGACCCTGTCTCTTCTCAGCCACAAAAAGTTGAGGGCCTCCATCAATAATCTGGTGAAGACACATAATGCAGGTGCAGTGGAGATGCTTTTTTCAGGCGCGATGGAAATCAAAGTACAGGCTTCTTCTGTCAGGAGAAATCGGGTTCAGATTTCAGGGCATCATAAGGGACTGCATCAAGACGGTAGCTTCTGGGAATCCAGGAACGGACAATAGGAAAACCAACCCTTGAAAAGCATGCACAGGGTTTTTGGTCCCTGAGGTATTGGGACATTCTGGATAGCCCGATACTCTCTATCCGGTGTGTGGTGACGAGTGGCTTTGGGAAATGCCAATTTGTCCTAAGAGAAAATGACAGAAGTTGGCACCACTGTAACTTGTCCTTAGAAACCTTGCAGCCCTGTTCAGCCAAGTGGGTGGAGGAGGCTCAGAGAGGCGATTTTTCCTTCCAGAATGGTTGGTGGCACATAGGAGCAAAGTCATCCCAATATTATGGAGCACGTATGACTTCCGGGTGTGACTGTTGCCAGGTGCTGAGTGATAGATGTCATGGCCTTTGTGTAAATTGGGTTGGCGAATGTCCTGGCTTTGTTTGGTCTTCTCTTGTGCGTATTTTCGGGCTAGCCTTGGGGGCATAACTCTCCAGGTATGTACTGTTGGCCACAGCATGGGTAAAGGCGAAGAAGATACATGCAAGAGGGGTCCAGGAACATGGAAGAAGGCATTGGCCAAGTCAACAAATATGAACTGGCTTAAACTCGTGAACACTTGTGGCTGTTGGGACGGGTACCCCTGCAAGCAAGGGTGTGGGGTCTTGGTACGCATAGGGGGTTTTCCAAAATTAGTTGCCTCATTGATCTGCTCTCAGATCTTGAACCATGCGATGATTTTGGTCGGGGTCTCACACTTTTGGAGTTTTTTTCTTCACTGGGGACAAATGGGAGAGTGTATTGCATGGGGACACACCAGGGAATTAATGCCCCATTTTCCAGAAGTATATTGACTTGTTGGGAGATGGGCGTCCATCTGGGCTTGCTTCAGAGTGTATTGAGGCCTTCCGTGGCAATGGTGCTCCAGGCTTAAGCTGGACTCAAACCTGTTTAGTAAACTAAGCCTCGCACATCATGACACGTCTCACTAGGCTCAATATCTGTATCCGTCGCTCACGGTCGGTCACTTAGACCCCAACCCCATGAAGTAGAAAGTGGCTGCTCCTGCAGTCAAGGCCCCTCGGATGTTACCCCGATAACCGCCCTCTGCGTCTCGGCAAGGGGCGGCGGCTGAAACCCCCCCCAACTTCGGAGGATGTCCCTCAATGGGGAACAGTGACCTTTGCTAGGGGCCCACTAGCAACCATATCCATGAGAAGAAACTGTCATAAGGGGAGTGGACACAAACAGGCTTGCCCCTGTCCTATTGGAGAAGGTTCAAATGTTCTTGGGTAGGGCCTGCGCGCGTGTTGGTCCTGGAAGCGGTGGAGGTGGTGGGCATTGCAGATCTTCCCACCCTGAGTTGTAGTCATTGAGTCGTCGTGAACGTCTGGGAGCTCTGCATTCCCTTCTGAAATGTCCTGGTTTTCACACAGTTTTAAGCAAACAAGTGGGTTTCTTCTGGGGACCTGCTCTCCAGCCGACAACATGAGTGGTTTGCCGGCTTCCGGGCCACCTGGGCGTTCTCTAGACCCTTTTGCCACCAATAGCAGTATATCCAGGTGGAGGGTACTGGGTACTCTGGGACGGGCAGTGATCAAACCCTTGCGAACAGACTCCTTTAGTCCTGATACAAATGCAGAGGCCAGCATTTGAGTATGTACCTTGTTATGGACACTGAATCCAGGTCTGTAAACACCTGTGTTAGTCTGGTATGGAACTTTTCCACCGACTCAGTCTTGTCTTGGGTAATGTCCTGCAATGTGGTTGCCTGGTCCGCCAGTCTCTCTCTGGCCCACTGCTGCAACTGGTCCACAGAAAGAAATTCCCCGAGGCATAAGTGGGTGTCCTCATTTGGCTTTACTCTGGTGAGATCCTTTTCCATTATCGGCCAATATGCATCCCCAGCCTTGATCTCACACAGACAACTGACCAAATCCCTCCAGGCTGTGGAATAGGTCTTGTGGATCTGGGGCTATGCGCCGGGTTTAAAAAGGCATCAGGTGTTTCTCCGGGTCCGGGAGAGTTTGTGACTAGTGCGGAGGCTTGGGATGGAGTGAAGGCCACATACATGATAGGATTGCATCAGGTAGGTTGGGCACCGGGCGGGGATGGTCTCCTTCAGATCCTTGGGGCGATAGACAGGATTGTGGTAAGTGAAGAAAAGAAAAGGGATGAGGTGCTGAGTCTGCTTCCATTCCAGACTCATACATAGATAATTTTTGACGTTGGGGTTGTGTGGTTGGGGGGAAGGTTGAACGGAGTGGTTTGCTTTCTGGACCATGGCCTTCTGAGAACGTATCATTCTGTTGGGAACGAATGGAAACAGCATCAAGCGTCTCTCGGGTACCCTGGCGGGACTGCCGCAGCCACTGTCTTTTCTTGAGCCCATCCTCTTCTGTCTGGCAGAGAGGTAGGGGTTACCACATCTGTAAAAATTCCAGCCCTGCCATTCTGTGGGTGTCTTCAGTTCAAACTTGGTCTGAAGCCTCTGTTTGTTTTGGTGGGTGGGTGGTAACTACAGGCATTAGGGGGCCGCCTCTTGTGTGGAGGGCCGAAGGTGGTTGGGAGCCAGAGACAGTAAGCACTGGGCACAAGGTGGTAGTATTGGTATGGGGTGTGTATGGTTGTATCGGTGTACTAAGCCCAGAGTGTCAACATGGCTTCCGGTGGCCTCACTGGGCGCCGCCATCTTTGAAGAGGGCGGAAGGGGCGGGGCCGGAGGCGGAAATGGAGGGGACTGAGTTGGAAGCATTCGGATGTTGCATAGTCAGCTTCCGGTCACATCCCTTGCAAATCTCCTCCCACCCGGATTCTTAAAACTGAACACCCCTTACATATCCGGAGGTTCTGATTTACACGGTATGCAAAAATATGGGACTCTCGGGGTCGGGGGCTTTCCTGTATTTCCACATGCCTCGCAACCTCCAGGACGGGCCATCATCATAGGGGGGGGCGGCGCCTTGCCGGGCGCATCTCTCCTTTCCTGTAATATACATATACAACTCCTGATTCAGTTTTTGCTCCACCCACCCCTCCTGATGTAAGGTGCGGGCGGGCCACATTAAACCAAGTTTCTGCTGTCTTTTAACATGTTATGCTTCATTAGAAGCCCTCTCTTCTCTTTACAACAGCTTCCTCCACCAGTTCACAAGCAAACGGACTGTTCTCTGGACTTTATAAGTTTCTGTCCCATTTTTGTTTTACTTTCCTCCCCGGGGAACCCTAAGGTGGTCCCCAAAGCCGTCACTCTCTCTCTTGTTCTGAAAGTGTGCTCTCGCTCCTGTGTCGTGAGCCCTCGGTTTAAACAGAAACCCACGGACAGCACGCAGCACTTTGCCCCCCCCTATCTTCTCCTCCAGTTAAACTTCCCTATTTTTCAGCTACACTGAGAATAATGTACATTAACCCTGTAAAACCAATATATCAGGATCTACGATTGTCACCGTACCACTACGTGTAGTACTTTCACGAATCCCCACTCTTTCGTGGTGTACACCAAACATTAATCCACATACACAGTTCTTTTTTTCTGTGTGATCATGACATAGTATTTCAGACACGCCTGTCGGGAGTAAAATTCTTTTTTTTTTTTTTTTTTTTTTTAAGTTTTCTTTTTCCCCCACAAGCCAATCCCTGGCTGTGGTTATTTTTTCCCTCGAGTCACCATTTACTGCGACTACGAGTTTCCCCTCGACAGTCACCATCACCACGACTCTGCGAGTGCCCGGCACCCTCTCTCAATTCAGAGTGTTTCTGTCCACTACTGACGAGGAATATTTTGCCGCCGTAATTTCTCCCCTCCCTCACAGGCGCATCAACAACAAGCCAACCAATCACACTGGTACACACAGACAGCCCCCCCAGACAACACAAAAGACAAGACATATTCACACTGGTAGATGACGTTACACTGACAGGTGGGTTCAAAGGAGCCCCCGGGCAAAGTATACCTGTCACTTTGCTGATCAACGGACAGCCAGACGGTGGTGAGTAGTCCCCGCTGAGCAATTCCAGACTACGCAGGTAAGGAATTATTAGACATAAAAATTCACTTACCGCTTTTGGAGGTGATCAGTCTCCCGCGCGTCTGGAATGCTCACGGTCCCCCTCATCCACTCTGGGTCGGGCTGATCCCGTGTTTCAGAACCCGGGGCTCCACGCTGGGCGCCAATTGTCTTGGACTAGGTCACTTACAGACCATTTACCGTGATCTACCAGTGAGCCAAATTAATATGAGAATACTGTGCACGTGGAAGTAAGACACACTGACACCTCGCAGTAATGCCAACTTCCCTAAAATTCTGTTTTATTGAGGAACTAACAGTATCATTTATAGGGCTTATGATGCAGGCAAAGCATATACATTGATTGGGTGAAAGTCCACTGGGTTTCTGCGTGTTCGTCCATCCGTGTTGATATCTTCCAATCATTGTCCCCAAAGAGACTCATTCCCCCTTTTATGGGGGTTGTTTACATTAAAAGATACTTTTCTCCTAATGAGTCACCAAGGGTGAGACTCCGGATGAAGGCGCCAACATCTTAATTATCATCATTGTTCCGTCACCCTATATCTGATTGTTTACTTAAGAGAGTAAGGAATTTAAAGAGCAAGATACAGACAGTGTAGCAAGACTATAAAATTGTCATTTTACTGATCATCTATAATAAAACGTGGACTGTCTATCACAATCCACTACAGGGCCTGGTCTGTGCACTATTAGGCACGGTACCCACTTTTTTTATTTTCTATTTATTTATTTACCACCCACGTTTTGTCACTTTTTCTGTTCTTATGTGTGTGTTTTTCACGGATGGAGGGTGTGGGTCCTCGGGCCTTACCTGAAGTCTAGGGGGAGGATGTGTGGCCATAACCGGTTCCTTCCTCCCCTGATCCCTAGGGGGTTTTCTCTTCGGGAGAAGAACACCCCCTCGCCTAGTACTGGATGTCCGGCTTCGGCTGGGGCATAAGGAACGGTGGTCCACCAGGCCTTTTGGCCAGGAGGACCAAATGGGAACCTTGTCCCTGTCAGGAGCTTCGTGCCCCGGGGGATCAGGCGAACGGTCCAACCCTTTCGGGGGGGGTAGGACAAACACACCCCTAAGTGCACTTTTTCGTGTGGTGTAGGCACTTGCACTTTTTTTGTGATCACTTACGGGTTTTTCGTTGTAGTTTGCACGTTTGCGGACTTAAAAAAATAAAAATGTGTGTTTTTAAGGTTAGTTCTTTACTTGGCCAAGGAAAAAAAATGACTGCTTTAGTAATCACTGCCATAGTCTGAGACTCTTAGATAGTGAAGATTTGTGTATCATCTGTTCTCAGATTGCAAAGAAAGCAGGTCAAAATGTTAATTGGTTCTTTATTTGTCCTTCCATTTAAATGATGCCCTGCTTTTTATAAATCCTTAAATTAAATCCCATAATCTCAAAGCCCATTGTTTTACTCACATTCTTCTAGTTCAGTCATTCAATGGTTATGACCATAATTCTAACTCCATATATGCCAGGTAGCTTACACTGAGGGTATATTACTGAAATGAAACATTTAATGCTGTGTCTATAATTACAATGCTTTAGGGCTGTCTAATGTAATGAAAAATTCATTGACGTCATAACACCTAAGTCTGAATTCCTTGAGCAGGCAGAAACATACTTAAGGCAATTGTGCATCATAGAATAAAAACACACAATTCACATTTGACATATGGCTTTAGTAAAAAAACTATTATGCTGTAATTTCACATTTGCTGTGCTAGTCTGATTTAATACGAATCTACCTATATGTTCATTTAAAGGCTGAGCAAATTATGCTTTATGCCATCTGCTCAGATATGCAGGCTGACGTATGGGAATATTAAAAGCTGCACAAAAAGAGATCAGTCATGAAAGTATATTGAAAATTAGTTGGAATCATTTTTTGGATTTAGGAAATTCCAAAATAATTCAAATATTGGCCTGAAAATGTAGTCAAGTAAAGTTGTCATCAGAATCAAATCATAAAATCTAGCAGCAGGTAACGCATGATCAAACAAAGTTCTTCATCTTCAACCTCTTCCAATTCCTGGGACCTGTTACATGGAAGCCCTAGCCCTATATGTTATTGCCCTTAATTAAATGTTTATTATTGTCATGGTTCACATGACTGTCATATTGACTGTCATATGTCTTTAAGTGTTCTCTATATTTTGTCTCTGCTCCTCCCTTTCTTTGGTTTAGTTAATGCTGTATAGATAGCCCACCCCTTTTCCCAGTAATGCATTTCTGCAAGTCTCATGTCTCATGAAGTAGGTCACATTATGATCTTTTGACCTATCAGATGTTCATTGTTGTAAGAATCTCTCAGTTTATGGAATAATCTTCACAAGATCTACAAGATATCATCTCGATTGAGTCACTGACTGTGGTATTCAACTGAGATTGGAGTTATCGCTATCTCATCACAGCTGTAAGTTACAGAGATCCTACTTTCAATGCTTAGATTGGAGAGACATAACAGTCAAAAATGAAAAAAATGAAATGTCTT